AAAATCCTACAATTATTATTTATATTAGTAAATTATTTAAAAAAAATCCCCTTATTATTTATTTAAAATAACACATTTAACTGAATTAAACAAATAATAATTTTAGCATTATATCTATTATTAAGCTGTATCAGTTATCAACATTTTAGGCCTAAATATCAAGTAAGATTATTAAAAACAAAATAATCACTAATGAAAATAATTAGTATTAATAATATTGGATATTTTATTGTAATACAAATGGGAGCTCTACTTGAAATAATCCAAGTGTTTTTACCTTAATTTATTTTTTTTTTTTTTATCATTTTACACACTTGTATTTATTGTTTTTAAGAAATTAGGTTAGAATATTAAGACAAAAATATTTTATTCTTACTCATATCTTATTATTTTATGTTGATGACTGTATGTAATTACAAGTTCACTCATACAGTGGTGTTTTTTCGATCTAAGCAGCTGTAAACTGATATCTCCATCAGGGATCGCAGTTATAAGTCTTGCAAATGCGTTTAAAGAAGAGTCAAAACTTAAACTAAATGTTTTTATTATTATTATTATTGTTTCAAATCCGCTTCTTTTTTCAGGTTCCACCAGGAAGGAATTTGTTTTAATTTGGACATTTTTTTTTTCTCAACACATATAAAAAAAATCTAAGTAGTCGATGTTTGTCTATATTATAAGAAAGGAAAGCTCTGTATCCTTATTTCAAATAATTTTGAAGCTACATTAAATTTAGGAATGAGGAGGATAAACAGGCTGCACACCCCGCTGAAGCTGCTTTGATATCGAAAGCTTGGCAGCTAAAATCTCAGCAAAGGGTGCGTTTTCCCGTGGAAACCACAAGGAGGAGGCGAACCTCGCCGCGTTGCTCTTTAATTCCCCAATGATCAACAGCGCTGGGCGGCCGGACCCTCCTGGAAGGGCCGCTGTCCCCAGGAGCGTTAATGCAGGTCAAGATGGAGGATAAATATATTACAGGACGATGCATAAATTCATCATATATGGTGGGTGATGTGTTTTATAACTAAACACCTGATTTAGGTATGAATAATTCAATTTACAACATTAATAATGTTTTTAAAATACTGCTGATCTCTGCGGCCTTATAACGAATTCCTACTTTTTGTTGATTTTTTTTTGTAATCTATCAGTTTATTTTATTTTATTTAATCTTCATTTTTATATTTTTATTTAATTTATTGTTGTTTTTTTGCAGGTATATTGTATATTAGTTTTTCCGCTCAGATTTGTGATCGTTTTGAGGAGCCCCGCTTCAGCACCGCGGACAGCGGCTTAGTCTAACCCGCTGAAGATGCTGCCTGACCTTCAGCTCCCTTATCTTCTTATCGGAAAATATCTATTATTCAGAATAATTTCCAATAATCTAATCTAGATTTTTTAACTAAATTAAATAAACATAAATAACCATTAGAATGAAGGTGTAAAAATAAAACAAAGTTAATGAAAGCCGAGTCGTTAAATCGTTGAATTCCGCCGAAATCTAATGAAAATATACTTTTTGGCTGCACATTATTCAGCTTTTATACCATTAATGAGGATAGACAGATCTTTATCCTCATTAATACAAGTTAACTCAACAAAATGGTTTCAATATTTCTGAATTTAGTTGTCTTTAGTAAGACTAAACTCTTACTAAAGACTCTTTGAAATGACAAAAACTATGTATGAATAATGTTGGAGTTTGCTGCGGAGAGGCAGCAAGAATAAAGGAGAAAATTGCCCTCTTTTGTCTTTGTTTTCCTGATTAAAAAAATAATAAACAACAACAGGCTTTTTAAATGAAAAATACAATTGACAAAAAAAAATATTTGACTCGGTTCACAACCATACTGTTATTTTGGGATGAAAGGAACAGAAGTTTTACTCACCGCAGAAACACCTTCTATAGCCTGGATGCTCTTCTGACATGATGCCATTCTGATCTGTCACAATTTAACAGTTAGTTGATCCTCGAGGGAGGAGACAAGCCAGTGGAAATGTTCCCAGCCTCTCCCACTTCCAGGGACCAGTAATACTACACCGAACCAGGCCTGATACCCATACGAGGAAAAAAAACAACAAATAAGTTGTAATAGTGGACTGATGAGGCCTGGTTATTATGTGGGACTGGAACATTTCAAACGGACTGTTCAATTCATTTATTGTTTAAAGATAGAAATTCATTTCATCCTCTTTATTAACCACCAACAGGCGCATCTAATATTATTATTTTGATATTATCAAAATGTATATTTCTTTCAGCTGTATAATTAAATATGTGAATTCCGTAGAGTTAGGTAGTGATACATTTAAAACTTTTTTCTGGTAATTTGAGTTTACAGTTAAAAAAATAAACCAATAAAACTTTTTTTATTATTATTTAGAAGATCTGCACATATATTTTTCTGATAAGGAACCATTTTATTTTGGCCTATATGAAGGGGGCGGGGGTTCTCTCGCAGTTAATAATTGACACGCTCAATAATGAGTACAAACCTTATCAGATCACACCTAAACAAGCTGATTGATAAGTGCTGTATCCACGCACATTGATGGGATGTTTATTGGAAGAAAGCGGTAATTGAACAATTTAGACGGACTGTGAAAATTATCTGAAGAAAAGCCCATTGAACAGAATGGGGGGAAGAGAGTAAATGCGGTGTTTTGTTTGGGTTCCAGGCCTGTCCTCGTCTTTCCATTTATGTTGAACTGAATTTTATTTATTTATTTATTTATTTTTTGGAGACAGACCCACACCCTGTGTGCAAAAATTTAGCAGGTCATTCATCTCTGCTGCCGTCAGACTTCACAATACCACTTTGCACTAACCCTGTACAATAAGAGCCTGTATTTACTTATTTATTTACCAAACACGCAACCGCACTGTTTGCACTCTGTCACAATACTGTATTTGCACTCCGACAGATCATACCTCAATGTACATAAGATCACTTTATTGTGATACTATCAATCTCAATTCTTTATGGTTTTACATATTCACTCAAGTGAATTTCTGTGTGTGTGTGTGTGCCTATATATATATATATATATATATATATATATATATATATATATATATATATATATATATATATATATAT